TTAAAAAAAAAAAAACTACCTTTAGAATCACTTCAACATTATTGCCCCACCAACAGTAAGAGGAATATTTAGTTTACACCACAGACTATCAGTCTTCCTCGTGCAAGTTTCAGTTGTCACAACTTGTCCCATGAAGCTGCTCTTTTTGATGGTATCTGATTAGTTTTGATGGTCCTCCTTTCACCAGATGGGTGGTCTGGCTGTCCCCCTTTCGCAAGACCAACTATGGTTGCTGGTCCTGCATTGTTAGTGATCACAGAGGAGTGCCTGACCTCTATCCTTTGGTGGAGATTGAAGGAATGGATCAAGGGATTGTGATGTAAGTAAAAGAGGGACTTTGCCACCCCTGAGGTTTATTTTAATATAAGCCCCTTATTATCGGTAAGGTGAGTTGATCTAGAAGGTAAACTGGGTGCACACTGCTCCTGGTAGGCTTGTGTAACAAGAATATCTGTCTGCTGTATCCCTGGGTGACAGCACGGTCCACATCCGCAAATTTCACACAATCAATGCTTAGTCATAACTAAGGTGGGTTGAGCTGAAAGAGTATCACCTGTCTGGGAAATCCAGTGCTTTCCCACTGGGATCTACCAAAGGGTCCTGAGCTGCCATTTTCTTTTGTCATCAGGAGCCTGGCTTATAATTTCAGATCTTAGCAGTTGGCCTGCTGATGATGCTCACTGTGCATATGGAATAAGTTCTTTACAACCCCGAAGCCTCTTGGGATCTCAGCAAGGGAATCCCAGGAAGCTTCAGGTGTGCATTTGTTGGTGGGGGTCATGCTGATCTAAGGCCAAAAAGGTGGAAGTGCAGGCTGAGCACCACAAAAAAGGCATCCCTCAGTAAACAAAGCATAAAATATGAGTTAACCTCCACTTTAAGTATTCCTCTATATTAAACAATTCCCTAGACAAATGAATATTATATTCTTCATCAATTGGGAAGTGGGAGGGGAGGCACAATGATAATTATTTAATTTATTCCTGGAGTTTCACTTTAACATTTCTATTCACAAAAACATAAGTCCACAACAACACAAGGCAGCTACTACATTTATCTGTGAGAGACCAATGTAGTAGTTACTGCTGTGTGCTGTTGTGGGCTTGTGCTTTTGTAAATAAAATGATGCTCCTTTCCAGATGCTGTCCTTCACAATACAAGCCAGCCAGCTCCTACTTAGTCATTTCCTTTGAACTATCTAGTGGCTACAGGAGATTGTGAGTCTTTTATCAGTACAAAGGTTGCAGAGGAGACACAAACTGCAGGCCAAGAAGAGCTGCAGAATAGAGAGGGGGCTGTGACTTTAGTGCTGCCTTTACCTCCCCATAGGAATGCCCACAATTTGGGCTACTGCCGTGAGTTGGAAATACAACCACCACTGATAGGAATAAAAAATTATATGGGGGATGTAACAAGACTTTTTAAAGTAGACGTGTAGAGAAAAAAACTCACTATATGGCTGCAGCATTGATCCAATGCTGCAGCTGTCTCTCGCTGGCTCTAAGCCTGAGAACTGAGCGATCACATGACCACTAATCACTGAGCTCTCTGTCTTCAATGAACAAAGGGCGGTGATGATAATCACCAGCTCTGCTGTGCCCCTCCAGCTCTCACTGAAATTCTGGTCTGTGGAGGGGGGGGTGGGAGCATCAGGCTCAGGTTGTCAGCAGCGTGCTGAGAGGTGGAGCAAGCCGACAGTCAGGCATCTGGGTGGATCCTGACAATATTGTCGGGATTCGTCCAGAGACTGGAGCGGGCTTTAGTCAGCTGTTGGCTGAATCTGGATCACAGAAGTGAAGAAACAGGTGCACTCCTGTGACCCATAAGAGAAGAATGACCAAACAAGCATCAGACATACTTCTCTTTTAACTTCTGTGGGAGATCTTTAATATTACACTTGATGTGCATTAGATCTATTTAATAGCTAACGACAATTTCAGTAAAATGGTTTTGTGATTGTCCCTGCAGGCTGCATAAAAATGAATAGAGATGCGTTACCCTATTTAAAGAGATCAATGTATTATCCCTACTGCAGCCTCCCTGTCCCACTCTACATACTGCTGCACTACTGAAGAAACTGAAGAGCTTCTCTAGGGGTGCTCACAGCAAAGACCAAATTCCAGCTGTTCATTCAGTGAACAGTTGTTCATGACCAATAAGAAGTAGATTTGTACTCAATATAAGAATGTGATTTGTTAATGCTGGCATGCCATGCACCCTACTGATTCAAATTATGTGTGAATTGTAATGATAGTTTAAAAAAGAACGATTTAATCAAAACATCTGCAATAATCTTTTTTTTTTTGTTTGCAAACTTGTTTTTATTGGAAAAAGTTTTACAAAATAACATGAGAAGTAACAGTTATCAACAGATAAACATAAAATGTTGCAGTGTTACTGGTAGTGTTGCAGTTTATCAGGCAGGGGGTGTCCTCTTTCACGCCTGCTATTTGCCCTGACCATAGAGCCTTTGGGGGAGCTTCTACGGACTTCTCCTGAGGTTCGGAGAATTCCAATTGGCCCTTTGGAGGAACAGAGGTCCTCCACCTTGGGTCATGGAAAAGGCCTTTTAACCAAGCTCTGCCACTCTACAAATAAACATATGAGGCAAGAGGATGCCTCTGAAAGTTTAATAAGATATGGGGTCCATGGCTAGACACTCAGGACACAAGCTATTACATGTTGGCTTTGATTTCTGACTTCGTTTAGAGTCATTACGATTTCTGGACTCTGATATACAGTATCTGGGTGCAGAGGGCTCAATGGCTACTGCACTGTTTTTCTGATTTGCAGATTTTCTGGGTGATGGAAAATGTATTAACAATATAGCTTTTTTTTTTTCATGGATGTGTCTCAAAAAGAGAGAATATATAAGATGTTGTACTGCATTGGGTCCTGAATGTCCTGTTTCTTTCTTATGGTATACTAAGATACTTATCCTGTACAATCCTATATGTCATACTGATATTGACCTCAATTGTTTTAGCTGTTTTTTTGTATGACTGACATTCTGCCTTGTGTATGTACTCTTGTCTATGCCCAATGTGCATGCTTTCAATAAAACCAGGTAAAAATAAACATATAGGTCTACTTATTACTTTTCAGTAAGAGAATCAAACAATTAACTATACAAAATAGGGTACAGAATAAAGAAAAGAAAAAAAAAGAACAGGAAATATGACCCTATAAGGTGCAAATTGAGTGAAAAAAGATAAATTACAATGCTTCAGAATCAGAATTTGTAATTTAATTACCATTTGAAAGTCTACAAAGAAAGTGTGGTGTTACACATATAGTGTGTATGAGGCTTATTAGAGAAGAGGATATATCTGGAATACCTCTAAATACTAGGCAGTTATTATAGGTTTACTTCTTTGCCCACTAAAGTGTTAATTAAAGATCTCTTTCCATATAGATATTTTGTTGCACTGTAACAATACTGCACCTGCACCTTTCAGAGATTGATTGTTTTTTGTAATATTCACTTGTATTCTCTCCCTGTAACATCAGAAGCGCCAGGTTCACATCAGGCTGTAACAGCATCCATTCTCCTGCCCTGGGGTGGACTGACAACTCATGGGGCCCCCAGGCAATAGGGGATAATGGGGCCCCTGTGACCTTGCCCACACTCAAACCACACCCAAAAAAGCATATGAAAGGTACCAGGGGCATCTCATGGGGCCCCCTACTGATCCCAGGCCCTCGGGCAGTGTCAGCCCGCCCCTGCTCCTGCCTAAACATATTGTTGATAACAAATTATAACAAGCGCTGCTAGAACTACATGAAAAAAAAGACTCAATAAGTGACAGTTATCAGCCATGAACTCAAACAGGAGACAGAATAGACTCTACAGAAGCCTGAAGATGGCTATACATTATACAATTTTCTTATTCAATTTCTTTCAGATTCAACCTTCAACTATGTAGTGCAGGGGCTTGCCTGACTGCATACAAATTGAAAGTGTTTAGGATGGACCTCATATTATATGGTTTTGGTAAATCTAAAGGAAAATTGTACCAGACAATTGTATAATGTATGGCCAGCCATGACAGTATGACACTGAGTTACAATTTCTGCTCTAACGGGAAGAGAGTACAAGTAATTAACCACACACATCTATGCCTGATAGGAAATGGTACAAAACTAAAAATGCTCTTTATTGGAGATTCAGATCCTCACAAACATACTGTACATTTATAACAGGTTCTCTTTAAATTGGATTGCTGGTGTAGAAAATAAATCTGGTGGCAAACAGGGTTTTCATGTTACTACATATTAACTGATCATCTGAAAGATTACTGGACCAGCATAAGGTGCTTTGACTCCAGATTTAATTATTTTTTCTGATGTATCAGATAATTGTGCAGATTATAGGATGATGCATTGAACTGTCAATATTTGTGCTGTGTTGGAAGACATTTACAGAGAAAGCATCTCTTCTGCCTTCAAATGAATGGTGCTAATCATGTTTAATTGCTGACTGATGGCATTGATTGGTGTCACAAACCGTTAATACATTTCATTACAATATTGACCCACACTAACTTTAACAACGACTTATCTAACACTAAGGCTAAAATGATCAGAAATTGTCAAAAGTAACCTATAAAAACACCAAAATTGTTAACTTGAGTGAAGGATGTGGTTGATGCCTTTAGTTTATCCCATTACAATATTGACCCACATAACTTCAATAATGACTCATGTAATGCTAAGGCTAAAATGATTAAGAAATTGTCAAAACTGATCTAAAAAACACAAAAACATCACTAACATGAGTGAAGGATGTGGTAATGTATTAATATAGTTAGGAGCCATAGTTAAGCTTTGGATCTATAGTAATGTATGTAATATAAAATCAATCTATAAATGGAATTTCATTTTTTTTTCTGGCATATGATGATTTATATCTATTCTGAAATGTGATATTTTCCTCCTGAAAAATTGGAAGCCTGACTGTGTGTAATTTCTATTTTTTCTGTTCTGGTAAAACTGAACACCAGGCAGGTAAAGAAAAAAATGCATCTCTGTTTTTCTTAATATATCTTTGAATGTATTTTCCTTTAATGTACATGAAGTAAGTAAGATTTTGGTTTGGTATCAGCTTCTTGCATTCCCCTTTTCAGCAGAGCTTAGACTGGATGAGATAGAAGCAGCACTAGGAGTCAATCAGCTGTGCTGTGGTGAAATTAGCATGTTGATAGCAGGAGATAGCAGAGTGAAAGAGTATTGAGCTGATCAGTATGCTGCTTCTCCTTTAACTGTTGACTCACAGACCAGGGGTGGCTATTTAACAACAGCAGAGAAAAAAACAGATCTTCTGCCCTGCCAGGCTGTGTAAATGTCATGACTAGATGGTCAGGAATACAAATGCAGTGGCAGGTTAGATGGCTCTTGTATGTATTTCATTTGTGTATTAGCTGTTGCCCGGAGTTCAGCACAGACAAATGAAGAAATGTTGTATCTGAATATCTTTATTGTATGCCTTCATATAATGCAGTATAAAAGTAATATGTATACAAAATTCTACATGCCCATGCCTCTTACACTAATAGGAAGGGAAGGAAGGATTGTCTTTTCATGCTCTCAAATACTTTAGAGTCCAACTCCAGCTGAAACGTTTGGTTTTGGATATAGGAAGGGTTAAAGGCTCTGTCAGGTTTTTATTGTTGTCTTTTTCCCCTTTTTTTTTGTCAGGACATGAAGTGATAGGAAATCTCTCCAATGGGGGAAGAGGCAAAAAAATAAGCAGATTTTTAGTAGAGTAGAGGTTAGATCTTTAGATAAGGATATCATTGCTGTCCATGCATTCTTCTCCAAATGATCAGAGGGAACAAATTAACAAAAGTAGAGAACAGAAAAAGTGTGAAAGAAATAAAACAAACAATTTAACTACTGGAACCTAGTTAAAAAATATTTTTCCTTCACTTGTTTTAGTAAGCACCTAGTTATTAATTGTACATACTAGGAGGGTGACATAGAGGAACAAAGAAAAAAAGAGTGGCGGCAAAAAGAAGACCAAGTGGTTCATCAGTCTGCAATATATATATACTTTTTGTCTTATTAGAGTTCTATGTTTGTCTCAAGCATATTTTAATCCATTTACCATTGACTACCTACTACTGTTTGCAAGGGCTATGTGGCTACACAATAGGTGAGTCACATGCAGCTCCCAGGCAGCAGGTTGAACACCAAGTACAGTAACAAAGTCAAGGAGGTGACACCGTAACTCAACCACTGTTGACACAACAGTAACTGTCTCTGGATTTGTTGCAGCACAGTGGCTAAGTGGTTAACACTTTTGCATGGCAACACTAGGGTCATCAGTTTGAATCAATTTGAATGTGAGGGTTTCCTCCTACACACCAAAGACATGCTGGTAGGTAAATTGGCCCTAGTATGTGTAGGTATGAATGTGAGTTAGGGACCTTAGATTGTATGCTCCTTGAGGGTTAGGGACTGATGCAAATATACTACATATATGTAAAGCGCTGTGTAAATAGATGGCCCTGTATATGTACCTGTAATAAATAAATATCTCTTATATTTGAATGGCTGCTACAACACAGAAAAAGGCCTTCATATACAATACACTTAAGCTCCATTCTCACTTGTATGATTCCAAAGTTGCGTGACTTTGGAGTTCAACTTTAATGCAACTTGGATATGACTTGTCCCTATGCAAAGTTAGATCTGCTATTCCACTACTGTTGCATATAAAACATTCAGGTATGACTTTCATGCAACTTTTGAGAGTTAACATTGAAGTCTATGGCCCTCAAGTTGCATGAAAGGGCATGAACTACTTTGAAGTCACTGCAACTTTAATATATATGAATAGTAATCATTGCAAAACATGGTATACAACTTGTCATGCTACTTTGATGTCCAAAGTCGCATGACAAGTTACACAAGTGTGAATGGGTTCTAACACATTTTCATACAAGCTACAATAGCATTGGACACATTATCAACCTAAGCTCTAGTTATAAAGAGGATGGAAAGGTGTATATCATCATCCAAAAACATTAGTGTTTTAAATAAATAATTATAGTGTCCAAACATAAATTAGTGTCCAAAAAATATATATATATCTTCAGTGACTTGAAACAATTGTGAAAAATCCACCACCAAAGGAGATTAAATGAACTCACTAGAGCTAATGGCTGGTCAGATTATAAACCAGCAACAGCGCTTGTGCTCTGGGAGCAATGAACCCGATGTCCAAATAGATATGGTGATGTGTCAGATACTTCCAGATAATAATAATCACAGACAAACAACTTTGCAGCCCAAGCTCTTATGATGAACTTCTCCACTCTTTCTCATACCTCCATGAGAGCATGCAGTACACTCAGGGACAAAAAAGAGAACATAATGGTGCAATACGTTTTTTTCATTTATCTCTTTAATAAAAAAGGTATAAGGAAACTCACAAACAAGGTGTCCAACAGACACCAGCTTCAATCGCAAAAAAGGGTTGAGATACAGTTAACGCTCACCGCAGATCTCTTCCATACAGCACAGAACAGCAAGGCTGTCTAACGTCCACATCGAGTAGGCTACGCCCAACCGGTTTCGTCACACCGACGTCATCGCCTTGACAAGATTTTATTAAAGCATAGTATAACACAAATAATTACCTTTTTTTTAAATAAAATACTTGTTTTTTCATCCTTTGTCAAATCTTAGTGCTGCTGAACTCCTGTTCCTCTTTGCAGTCACTTCATATTTACATGTACTCCAGCAATGGCTGCATGGCTTTTCTCACAATGGGTTGTCTGGTGTGAACAACAGGGGACCATGCCTGCATAATGTGTGTTGGATGTCCACATGTAGTCCCCATCAAAAGCCTGTGTGACAAAATGACAACACGGGAGGGCAGTTGGATGACAGGGACAAACTGCTGTCATCCTATACCAGGAATAATAAAAATACAGAACGGAGCACCAGATCAAAACTGGATAAAAGAGTCCAAGATATCATTAATTGTTGGAAATAAAAAGTTGTCAATTTTTTGTAATGACTTTTTTTTAGGAACAATTAAAATGATCTTGACTCTTTAATCTGGTTTGGTTTGGTGCACCTTCCTATATTTCTATGGTCTGAGCTTCTGTTGGGTGTCCACTGAGGGAAGCCTTGCTGTGTGGGAACTACCCCATCAGAGCTATTGAGCTTAGCTGAAGTTTTCTTTCCTTTGGTTACACTTACAAGTCTAGAATCTACAGGAGCCTAATTGAGCATATTTCTCTAGACCAGCCATTCTCAACCAGGGTTCCTTCAGAGGTTGCTAGGAGTTCCTTGAGCTGTGGCTGACTGACCTTTCATTTACGGTAATTGTGCCTGCATAGTTCCAGGTCCAACACCACTTGACAAAGATAACAGCATGACAACAATTTATCTTTTTTAGCTGCATTCCTACTGATCACAAATGTAAAGGGTGTTTTTCTAATGACTCCCTAGGGATTAAGCTTGGCAGGGGTTCCCCGAGACCTTAAAATTATTTCAAGGGTTCCTCAGCATTAAAAGATTGAGAAAGGCTGTTCTTGATCCTATTATAGGAAGTCACCGAACAAGCAGCTTCATGGTAGGCTCACCAGTTATTATTGTAATGAAAATAGAAAACGAAAAAACTGTGCTAAGTGCCTAAAATTAGAATAAGAATGAGAATAAGAAGTAATAAAACATACCCTTATTACAGCTGCACTCCAACACACCTAAATACTAGGGCATAAATGTTGAAATGAAATTATGTTGAGCTGTGTCTTTAAAAATCACATATCACATTGTACATAAACACAAGCTTAAACATAAACTAATGTAAGTTCCACCACCATTGCTATAAATGCACATTAAATACGGTTATTATAATTACATATAACTCCACTGATGTCATAAATAATCAAAATAAAGTTCAAATAAATATATAAAACTGATGAATTCAAGTGAATGCCAACACCACTCCATAACTGCATTAAGTTATATTTCCTCCTCATGTAAACCGGTAAACTCCACCACCACCACCAAAACATGCAGCCTTTTACCAATTGGATAGACCCAAATTATAGGTGGTCTAACAAGCGCTCTGTATCAGAAATTATCCACCTAAAGTTTGAGACCATGGGGAGCAGCAACAACAGCGGAAAGATGTTTCAGAGGCACTTGGGAACCACAGGGAACATCAACAGGGAGTTAGTATAAACACTTCACCTCCGCCATGCATGTCATTCCAGCTAAAGAAATAAACAGCATTCCATAGTGCAACCTGTTTCTTCTATTGTATCAATAAACTGTGTATCTACTCACATAGGAAGGTCAAACAATCAAATGTAACAAATCTAGCACAGCCTCCACCTCCAGCAGGCGTGATGATGTTAGCACAGGCTCCGCCCAGACGCATTTCATCCAATAGGACATTCTCAAGGGGTTGAGCCTGTGCTATTCAATTAAACTTTATTTAACCTCCTCGGCGGTCTGATTATTTCCGATTATTTTGTGCTGAAAGCGGTACCATTTTTTTGCATGGAAATATGTAGTTTTTTATTGTAGGCTGTAATTTTTAGGAATAACTCACTGAAATCTGTACGAACAAGAGTCTAGTAAACATCCCGGGTAGGATAACATTTGAAACATGAAATCATAAATTATAATTTAATAAATAATCATAAAAATAATAATATAATAATAATAAATTTAATTCAATAATATAATAAAACCAAAAACACTGAAATTTGAAATACAGAGGCAAATTCGTACATCGCTGAGCAAAGTCGCAAAATCGTTTTCAGTGTCTGATGACGAATTTCCCCACGAATCATTATCACTCAATTCTGCAAGAAGTTCTAATTTACTATCGCTGTTCTCTAGCTGGTCTAAAACCGCTTTTGACGTAAAGGGACGCTTTTTGGACGCCATGGACTTTTCTAAGTTTTCCAGGCAGAAAGACCAGTCAAAATTCAGGCAGGGCACAGGACAAAGCACTCGGGACAAAATGTATGTGAAATGCATTAAAACAGCAATGTTTTACTATGTAATAATCATTTTAAAAAAACGAAATTTTTTAAAACTTTCAAATTTGTCGCCGGTTCCACCGCCC